AGTACAGTTAAAGTAGTGATTACTCTGCCTTCCATCTCTCTCAGTATATACCAAGATCCCTTCCAGTTACGTTAAAAATCGGGCCATGCAACCAGAAATCTTTCATACCTTCAACAGTCTTTTGGTTACCACTACGTCCACATGTTGTAAATGTTCTCAACCTTCACACATTGTACCCATGTCGGGAATCGAACCCGGGTCTTCAGCATGACGAGTGAACGCTTTAGCCACTAGGCTACCCAACGCCCCGGGACTTCAAAGGATACGAGACAACATATTAAAGTAGTGATTACTCTGCCTTCTATAAACTTCTCTGTTCGCATTTCTGTTGCATTTCGTGGCTTTCTCTCCCTCAGAATAAACCAAGATCCCTTCCAGCTACATTCAAAATCATAGCATACCTTCAACAGTCTTTTGGTTACCACTAAGTTCAATCCATCTGTTGAAATGGTTCTAAATCCTAGCTACAAACTGTGTGAATATTTCATATCTGATACCTGTATCAGTTTTAACCGTTCTAAATTTCTGATGAAATTTATCTTAACAGCTTGTGTCATCTGCACTTAATCTGGAATATACTTCCAAAGCATTACCTTTTTGGGGCATACAAAGATATGCTGGCCAATGACAAGGTTGCCAACCTTGTGCTGCAACTGCCCGTTCAAACTGCTGCAGATATGCATCAAGGCTGTCGGTGTGGTCTTCAGTCGGGGGCATCTTAGGCATCAAAGGTGCACCACCTGATCTGCTCTCTCCTACATGTACCTGACAGTGTCCTTCGTACTTTACAATATCACACTTTTCAAACTTGCTTAATTCTATTCTCTCTTCTGGTATTACTTTCATTTTCCGTTACTTAATATACTAATATATCGCGGTAACATCACTGCCACCAGTATGGGCGCGGCCATTACACGAATCTTGAAATTTGCCATCTAACCCCAAATGTATTAATGTTAATACTTTTGTTTATGTCTTTGGCAATGCCATCATGGTGAATTTTGAAAAGGTTTACGACTGACCATACTTTCCAGATTAGTTTAATTCTATGTTTATATGATCAGACAAGTTAGAGATTACAGACTAACGGAAAATCACTTAACTTCCTCATTATATTCTTACTATACCAACTACATGACAGTTGATAAATGAAAATGATTTAGCTGGGGTAAGAGTATTCGGCGTCATGACAGTCGTCACTTGTTTGTAAACGTAACGGTCATTCGGCTGCGAGGTCAACTCCAAGCATGGGTGTGGTCATTTTGGCTGGTGGCAGCGGTATTACTAGAGAGCTCCGCGAACAGGATATCCCTGTGAGGAGCTTGGTAACACCGTCTCTACCAAACTCCTCACAGCGATATCCCGTTCGCGGAGCTCTCTATAGAATATCACCACACACACTGATAGCTTTTACAACACTATCTTTTAATCATAAGCCAACTTTGAATAACATGTGATATTGTATAGATACACACAAGATATAAACATATGGCGTCTCAATAAAAAGTTTCAAACTTAGATTCGACACCTGTTAATTTGATTTGTGCAGTAATGGAATTAAGACGGGTGTTGATTGAAGCAGTGACCTGTGTGTGTTCTCTAGGAACGTTTGATTATGACAATATGCTAGACGCACAGCTTATCCACAGATCTAGGCGAGCTTGGAGCTTCCCCATTGTCATCTTAAATACGAAAGATGGCATTAGACGGTTCTGCGTCGAGTTCCGGTCGTTGAACGAGATCACAGACCCGTTTCAACCCCTCGATACCTGAACATTTCATTTGTGGTCTCTAACATAATGTGCAAAGTCCCCGACAGAATGTTATCATAACGAGGACATTTTTAAAAAAACCATGACATATCAATGTATGTATTACTCACTTAAACATATCTAAATTCAACATGGGAAAAAGACAGATTTCGAATATTGTCCTTCTACAGCTCGGTAATACACTCATATAATGAAATCAATTTGACTCAGTCACAATGTTAAACATCTATACTGTTATAGAATATGTGTCCAAGGTATGTACACCTGCTTGTCCTGTCATATGACATAAGGTTCGCTTTTTGTTTAAAGAGCTGATCATGATCACACATTGCATAAAGCGAATATAAAGCCACTTATATTTTTATACACATCCGGCAGCTACCTCTATCAGTCTGTTTGGAAGTCTTTATGATATCTCCTTTGAAGTGGTCTGTAAACATTCTTTCATACTATGCTTAGAATCTTTGGGTTACATTGACGAATAGACCTTTTAACACTAGAGCCAAGCAATAGTGGACGAAAAGCTGTTTATCTTACAGTGGGCTTATGAAATAATCTCAATAGTACAATAAACAGCGATTTCTCATGAATAAAGAAAGGGTTTTGTCGTTGTTGTTAATGAAAAGAACATTAACATAACCATAAGCACAGTTCAGGTCCAGGGTCCGCTATCCTCATGAATGTGTCTTTGTAACTGCGCTAGATAGCATTCTGATGAGAATTTTGATTCACTGGTCGACCGACTGTGCGGTATGTGTAGGTGTGGGGTGTATATGGAACATACAATGAACACGACTGCATTGTTGAGTAGCTACTCCCAGTAACCCTCAGGTGACATATAATCTTGAACGCAAGGTTGAACCCCTTTTCACCGCACCTATTGTTTTCTCAGTAAACCTCAGATGACCTTTAAAGATAGATGTGTAACTATATCTACGGTCACGACGTTTAGTGGAAAAGGGTAAAGTGTTAATCTAGACCCTTTCCGGGAGATTAAGCCATGAAATGTCTACATGTGCAAGCACACTACAATCATCCTACCACTTGACGATCTGGACGAATAAACTTATTGGACATACTTGAAGCAAATTATAGACATTGTAATTGAAAAGAGTGATGACTTTATGTTATAGGGCAAAGCACACTCATTCCGTTATGTTACTCATCCATGATGTGGGTGGAGGCGTGAGTTTGGTGTAACACCTCTCTGAGCAGTATTCCACTTATACCATGGAAGTGCCAGCATCATGTGATAGGACAGCCAAGAACCGGTTGAAGAACGAACCTGTTTCAACTGCCCGGATTCTGTGGAGGATGAGATGCATGTGTTACTCAAGTGACCGCTTTACATGCATTGAACAAGAGACATGTTTGCATTATGTTGTCAGGTTTATCCTGCTTTTATTACAGCCCCTGACGAAGAAACATAAATATTCATGTCTTGCCCCAATAATATGAAAGCTGCCAAAACCTGCAAGTATGTTTTAGACTTTAGGAGTACGTATGTGAAAAGATAATATGGATGATTACATTGTGTATTATATTTTATACTGAATATTATGTGTAGGGGTGGCTCTGTTATATATAGTTGTATATGTTGTTTTTATCTGTACCTGGGGAGAGACGAAAATAAAATATTCTGTCTGTCTGTCTGTCTGACAACTGGAGTGATGAGACGTAGGGTGGACGCCATCACCCGGGCACGTGGAGGATTTACTCACTACTGAATCTCTGAACTACGGTCCACGGACTTAAGGTGACATTTTGTTATCCACATATAGCCACATGAACTCTTGATACTGTTTTTTTTAGTAAAAAACAATCATTCACATTAGGTGCCACAATTTTACAACAGACCCTACAGGACCACGTGGCTGGCCTAACGGGTCGTTGTAGTGCAGGCTCAGTAGACATTACATCTGCAGAGCTTCTGATATTCACTCTATCGTTACATCGTCCATTTTCTGATGTTTGTTAATAATTTGTACATGGAACTCTATCTCCTTAACATAGTTGACCCGTGAAGATTCCGGAGTAGAATAGGTCTTCAGCAACCCATGCTTGCCCTAAAAGGTGACTATGCTTGTCGTAAAAGGCGACTAATGGGATGGGTGGTCAGGCTCGGTGACTTGGTTGATGCATGTCATCAATCCAAATTGCGTGGATCGATGCTCATGACATTAATCACTGGATTGTCTGGTCCAGACTCGATTATTTACAGACCGCCGTCATATAGCTGGAATATTGCTGAGTGCGGCGTTAAACAACAAACCAACTAGCCAACCAACTTAACATAGTTAATACAGATCTTTTTAAGAGTTTTACATTCAAGAAGAAGATAATTGATAAGGAATATTGTCTTTGGGTAAACATTACCAGTGGTGGTGCTACTATATCATGATAACAGCCTAACCCAAACTGACAATGGTGGTGCTTCCTCCTTCTTGTCGTTTTTCTTCTTAAATATATATTTCTTTTAAATATATATGTAGCTTACTTGACTATGGTAACATATCAATTTATTATAAACGTATATAAATCTTATGTCTCGCCGAAGTGCCTGATTAATGTCACACTGTCTAGTACGACTTAATGCGTAAATCATATGCATGTACTACCTTGCGTCCTGCGCAACAGAGCTATTGTGTGCACACGGACTGAAAGAACCCTACTGACAATCTTTCCTTTGTGAGCGCCCCAGCATGAATAAATATACATCCGGGTTTAACCCGACATCAGGGTTTAACCTGTGCATATCTAGTTTAAAATTAGATATCACACACATACCTATAGTTGTTGGCAGCAGGGGAAGTCTGTAAGGGTAGATTGTCTATCAAAATGTGAGTATCAAGTTTCATATCCCGTGTGTAAGTATGTGTCTAAACCGTTAGTGGAAGTTTACCACATTGAGTGGAATGTGTAAAAAAAGAATAGTCGTGTACCTGGATCCTTACCTGTAACCTGCAACATTGGGGTCGTGTTCTGAAATTGGGACTTCAAGTTCGTAATTGTACCGATAATGTACGTTACTTTCCACGGTTATTCTTGACTTAACCGTTAACCAAATCCGTTAAGACGAAGCTTTATCACCACCTCACCTCACCTCACCTCACCTCACCTGATCTCACCTTGATGATGTTACAATTATAGGAACTCACAATGAAGACATCCACGGGTATCCTTGATGGATTCAAAATGAAATAAAACATGAAGAACTATGTTGTTTGGCATACACTTAAACACTGAGAAAAGGTAATTTCTAGTCAGGTGAGCGCATGTCGTTAAAGTCTTCTTCTCTGTAACCACAGCACAGATGAGGCTGAAATGATGACAACCCAGTTTGTTCAAGAAGTTTTGATCCAATCTTAACATACATCCTTAACATACATCCTTCAGTGGCCACGCGCGCGTTATGATATTGTCAGCAACAAAAGGACAGCTTATATCTCTGTACAGCCTACCTGTACGTTACTTTGTGATATTTTAAGGCTGCTTCGGTATAAGTCGGCACACACACAGTTAATCCTGCAAAACTGCGTCCCTTATAGGGGTTTCACAATTTATGAACATAACCTGGATGTAGCTTTCAATGTTAACATATTTGTGATCTAATAAACCTCAATTCGGGTCGAGAGAGGACTGGATCCTAAGCAACATGTAAAGGCATGCCGTGCTACTGTATTTGCATAATCTGTATTAAATACTGTAGCGGGTATTGTGTACTCTTTATTCTCAAAATGTGTGTTCTCATATTAAACCATGCATCGCACACAGTTCGGTATGGCTCTATAACCGGGAAACTGTGAATGCATCTGTAGTTAAAGGTTTTGTAGATATAGCGACCAGACGATCACGGTTACAAAGATATCCAAAATGAATATTTCAAATGCATTGATGATTTGATGTGTTATATGGATAGGTTAAGGACAGACTTAGTTTTGCTGTATTTTACACGATTGTAAAATATGAAACAATGAACATAATCTATGCCATTAGGAATATACTTTATTTTTAGTACGCTAACGATGCAAATGTGCACACATATTCAGGGATCAAGACGCGTTTATGATATCGGTATAAGTGTAAAACAGCATAGTTACCTGTTTTAAACGGGGGAGGAAGTGCTTACTACTAATATAACGACCTGCATCCTACTGATGACCAATTATTAGCCTTGAGAGTCCTTGAAATTCATCACTTAGTTTCCTTTAGGTACTCAATATATGATAATTCCTAAGTGCGAACTTGCTCCTTTTAAATTTAATGTGTAAATAAATTCTCGTCTTTCTTCATTTTTGTCATCAAGTGCGAACTTAGAGAGATTTTCATGATATATTGATACAGTTATCATGTTTTTATAACAGAAAGATGGCAAGGAATCTGAAGAAGGGAATCTTCTCTGAACTATCAACGAATGTAAAACCTAAAGGTAAGATTGAATTTATGTACATATAAGTGAGACAACACTTTCCACTGCCATAACAAATACAATCTGATAAAAGCAGAGCCCCTACTACGATTCCGACTATAGGGTAAGCATGTGTTATGAATTACCATCAAATAGTGAAGATACCAGTTGGTAAAACACGTTTGCAATATGATGACGGGACACCAAAAGTAGGTGGACTGAGGCTAGAAATTTCACATTTCTGTTCCCAACTGAATTTCCAAAGGAGGTTGAAATCTGAATTTCAATATTTTTTAAAATAACCCACGAGGCACCAGTGATTAAGGCAAAATATGTCACGAGCGAAAGTAATATTTTAAGTTCTGAGTGACATATTTTTCGTAATCGCTAGTACCGAGTGGGTTACTCTATTTACTACCCATAATCATATTAAAGTCATATTTCAAGAAAAAAATGTCACCGTCAAGAATCAGCTGTTTTGTATCAATCCGCGTGTGACAAAACACTGTCCACTTCACTCGAACCATATTACTCAGTTAATGTTTTCTTACGCGTGGAAAATATAGTTCTGTTAAACAAACTTTAAATATCACATTATTGAAGTAATATTGCACACTTTGCACACGAATTGCACACTTTGTAAACATCAAACGATATCACACTGCCTATTTTAGCCCGTATGGGTAATAACCATGTCAGAAAATAGACATAGCCATGTTTCAGACATTTTTGTTCACTCCTGTCCATTTCACACTAAAAGTATTCTCAAGAATAGACTCAGAAAGCTGAACTTTGGGTCCATGATCATGCTATCAAAGAGATTCAAGCCGTCATGAAAGGAATTCACGTTTTGAGGATACAGCCATGGGGTCAATCCTGACACCAATAGTCATAGGGTTTGTATTATTCTGTTGTGAAATAACATTTTGTACGCGAGCAAAAAGACTTGGAAGTTGGATATTTGTTGTAGCATCATCTAATGCTAATATACATGTAATTATTATTATTGTTTTTATTAGACTCCGCTCTCCGTGAAGCCTGCATGGCGGGGAACCTGGCAGTTGTAAAGCGGATAGTAACAGCAGGTGGGGCGGACCTCAACTCTAGGGACCGATTCGGAATTACACCGGTGCAGGCAGCAGCATGGTATAGACATAAAGACGTAGTGGAGTTCCTTGTGAGTAAAGGAGCTGATGTGTCTCTGGTGGACGGTGCCGGTAACAACATCCTCCACTATGCCTGTTGGGGAGGAGATGAGGAGACGGTGAAGTTTGTTCTCTCACAGAATTTCGCGGACATTAACGCCAAGAACAAGTCGGGGGAGACGGCAACCGACAGGGCGAGATCCTGGAGAATTTATGAAGTGGTTGATCTCATGGTGTCCAGTGGCGCTCAATGAAGTGAATGTAGGATGTGTGCAGAAAGCGTATTGTGTTTGAGAGACATATTGTGAGACACTTTGTCGTTTGTTTATTTGAAACTTTCCATGATCAGGTAAACGGACCATTGTAACTGACCTTTTGAATGGCGTACCGGGACGACATCGCTCGAGATCATGTTCTACCCTTTGTGCAAATGCAGCGCCGTAACGTCACGTTGCAGCAGCATAATGCCCGCCGACACGTTATACGTGTAGTAACAAGTCTTTTTAGGCGGCATAACATTGTGGTCGGCTATTTCTCCAGACCTCTCCCCCATAGAACATGTTTGGGATGAGATAGACAGGACAGAACTAGCCGGTAAGGCTAGCTCAGTTGGGCCAATCTTTGTTTGACATTTGGCAAAAAATCTCCCACGAACTTACGAACTAATGGGACAAGCAAAACGGCCAGACATGCTGGTTTCTGTTTCTACATTTGTACCACAATCAGTCATTGTTGAAATGTAACCAGCAGTGACCACGTAAAGCAACGAAAAATGACAAAACCCTTTCCACAATCAAGAGGCATCTGTAAGTACGATTCCGACTACAGCTTAAGCATCTTCTTATCAATGACTATCAATCAGTGATGATATCACGTTATCGCGAAACTTTGAGCGTATCATGCGCCATAAGTGGCACCCATCACAGATACATGCAAAGGCAAGTCATTTGTTCACCTGAAAAAACACATGTGGTACAGCTCAGAACAGGGAACTGGATCAGGCATCATTTTTGTCACTGATGTGTCATGTTTGGAAATGTCCTCCACATGTCCACCATAACATTCTGGAAAGCTTTACTTAGGCCTTGTGTGTAGAAACCCGGATCAAACATCTTTCCAACAAGAGTCCTATGCCGATCTTTGACATATTTAGTAGAAAGAGCATGTTCAAAGAGATCTAAATATGAAACGGATGATGCCTCCACGCCGTCGCTACATGCACTGGTTGTCTCCCCTGTGGTGTAACACATCCTCCACGCCGTCACTACATGCACTAGTTGTCTCCCCTGTAGTGTAACACATCCTCCACGCCGTCACTACATGCACTGGTTGTCTCCCCTGTAGTGTAACACATCCTCCATGCCGTCGCCACATGCACTGGTTGTCTCCCCTGTGGTGTACCACATCCTCCTTACCGCCGCTACATGCACTGGTTGTCTCCCCTGTAGTGTCACACATCCTCCACGCAGTTACCTCTCTCAGTGTGTGTGGATAATACACTCATATAATGAAATCAATTTGACTCGGTCACAATGTTAAACATCTATACTTTTATAGAATATGTGTTTAAGGTATGTACACCTGCTTGTCCTGTCATATGACATAAGGTTCGCTTTTTGTTTAAAGAGCTGATCATGATCACACACTGCGTAAAGCGAATATAAAGCCACTTACATTTTTATACACATCCGGCAGCTACCTCTATCAGTCTGTTTGGAAGTCTTTATAATATCTCCTGTGAGGTGGTCTGTGAACATTCTTTCATTTTATGCTTAGAATCCTTGGGTCACATTGACGAAAAAATCTTCAAACACTAGAGCCAAGCCATGGTTGACGAAAAGCTGTTTATTTTACACTGGACTTATGAAATAATGTCAATAGTACAATAAACAGCGATTTCTCATGAATATGGAAAGGGTTCTGCCGTTGTTATTAATGAAAAGAACATTAACATAACCATAAGCACAGTTGAGGTCCAGGGTCCGTGTCGCCAGCTATCCTCGATGAATGTGTCTTTGTAACTGCACTAGATAGCATTCTAATGAGAGTAAGATTGACTGATCGACTGACTGCGGTATGTGTAGGTGTGGGGTTTATATGGAACATACAATGAACACGACTGCATTGTGGAGTAGCCACTCCCAGTAAACCTCAGGTGACATATCTTGCCAAGGTCTTCAATATGAGGTTATGAGGACACGTTCATCATGTTATTGTTACATGCTACTATTATTTATCAACTACTACTGCTTCTGATATACTACTACTATTGCTATATACTACTACCACTGCTACTGTTACTATTATGAATGTGTCTTTGTAACTGCACTAGATAGCATTCTAATGAGAGTTAACTGTGCAGAGGTAGAATGAATAATTGTTGACTTTCTGTGTGGTATATTCCCAGTCGACCTGATTGTTCATCCAGGCTGTAAATGAGTGTGGCTTGTTTATGGTAATACTTTTCATGACAACGTGCACTGTTGTGGCTCGAGTGTGTTGTAACACCAAGCATTTTTGCAAGGACGTTGGTCCAGTGTGGTCCTTGCGTCTTCTTTAAGAAGTGTCAACACATTAATTCCTTGGACTACAGGTACCCTTGCATTATAGTTACTTGTAGGAACAACTAGAAGGGAACCTAGCAAACTATCCTCTTCTGTACCTGTATAAGTACAGAAGCATAGATCCATTGAAACATTAAGTGTGTAATACATCTTCAATGGGAATGTGATACAAGTTGTTTTCCTGGTACAAATTCTGATAGTAGAAACCACTAAACCAGTGTCTACAGAGCTGTGCATTCAAACCCAGAGACAGACACATTAACTTCATTGGCATCTCCAATCAAAAGTAGTTGAGGTTATGACCCTTGCCTTTGCTGTGCCATAGGTCGTTCCTTGTATAAAGAATGTCTGTGTGAAACGTTCTCCCAACAACAGCTGACCATACTGACCACTGCACCAACAGACGATGGGATCCTTTGGTTCTTTATGTCCTCGATTGTCCTGGCTTAGTTCGCTTTACCTGGTGGCACACAAGTCCACTTGAACTGGCACGATTGGTTCACCCATTTCTTTAAAGAGTTGACGTCAGCAGAACGTATTTCAACCATTCCTTTTCGTTCCTTAATGTCAGAAGTTTCATTTAGCACAGTAGCCCTTATCGACAATTCGGCATCCCACTGTTCAGTCTCATTGCATCTGGTAGCATGGGTGAATTCTTCAGTGTTCTGTGTGGTTTCATGTTCAAGGCAGACACATCCTTGTAACGAGGTGATAGTCCCTGCCAAAATACACCTTTGTGATCCTTATTCATTTGGCTTACACTTGGTTTGGTCCCATAAGTATTTGTTTCCATAAAATTATTCTTCGCGTCAAACACAAGATATACATGATTCAACAGATTTCTGTCTAGCACTGTAAGGTGGCATTCAAGGATCCAGGTTTCTCACAAATTTCATTGACATTGTCATCTTTGGCAGGGTCTCTGAGGTTCAGTAGACAAGACTGGTAAAGTATACTGTTCACAGACGTGTCGCCGTTTTGGACAGCTCTGATGGTCGTGCAGGGGTCTATATGCTCAGATGAGCACGTTTTAGCGACAATTACGTCACTCAACGTCGTCAGTTTAGGGCTGGGAGTGTAATGGTATAGCGTGGCATCACAACTCTTTGGAGAACACATATCATTGCTGTTAATGACAATTTAAATGATGTATCCTTCCGGGACGACAACGTTTGAGGTCGTGTTCTACCCTTTGTCCAAATGCAGAGACATAAGGTCACGTTGCAGCTGGATAAGAGCAAAACATAACAATACTGTAGTGCCATGGTCTGCTGTATATCCAGGCCTTTCCCCAAACAGAACATGTCGGAGATGAGATGGATAGACGCCTACGGCGGGACTAGACAGTTGGACCAATCTTTGGTTGTCAGTTTGAACAACATCCCTCAGGCTGTATATGGCCAAGAACAAGTATAATATGTGAAGCCCGCGATACAAAGGGAAAATTACTTGAAGCCTTTTCCTTAAATAATGATGTATGCATTTTTAATGATGGTTCTACCACATATCTACATCCCGCAAATGGTACTTACTCTTGTCTGGATTTATCAGTTGTAGATTTTAATTTACTAAGTGAATTTGAATGGTCAGTCCACTATGACCTCTGTGGAAGTGACAATTTTCCAACCATTTTAAAATCTGTAACTCCATCTGATGTTCCTCCATCATCAGAACGGAATTTTACTAAGGCCAACTGGCATTTATATGAAATCCTTTGTACAAACGAACTCAAACCTGAAGTTTGTATTGATGTTCCGGACCCTATACAACTTTTCTCTGATGAACTAAACAGAATAGCTGATGAATGAATTCCGAAGTCCTCCACAAATCCTCACATACGTAGACCATGGTTTAACACTGAATGTAAACAAGCTAGGAAAGCACGGAAAAAGGCTGAAAAGTATTTCCGTCGCCATCCAATGTTACATAATCTAAATAAATTCAAAATTATAAATGCTAAAACACGGCGCACTTTCAAACAAAACAAACGCCAATCTTGGCAAAATTATGTATCTAAGATAAAATCACGGACGCCTACGTCCAAGGTATGGAATATGATTCAGAAAATCAAAGGTAAGGGTACTAGATCAAGCATACATCATCTCCAAGATGGGGATCAATTTTTAACTGATACATCAGATATTGCAAATAGAGTTGGTGAAACGCTTGCTCAGCATTCTTCTTCGGCTAACTATGTTCCTCAATTTTAAAACTACCAAAATCAGCAGGTAAAGAAAACTATACACTTTAATTCAGATAAGGGGGAAGATTATAATGAAGTTTTTTTTCCATTCATGAGCCCTATACTGCCCTTGGGGAAGCTCATGATACTGCTATAGGGTCTGATAATATACATTATCAACTCTTGAAACATTTACCGCAATCCTGTTTAGAAACCCTTTTGATAATATTTGATAAAATCTGGACGTCAGGAGAATTTCCTTCTTCATTGCGTGAAGCTATAACTGTTCCCATACCTAAACCTGGACGTGATCATACTGATCCTTCTAATTCTCGACCCATTTCATTGACTAGCTGCGTTTGCAAAACCATGGAACGCATGGTCAATAATAGATAAACCTGGTTTTTGGAATCAAATGATTTAATAACAAATATTCAATGTGGTTTCAGTAAAAATCGCAGTACCATTGACCATTTAGTTCGATTGGAATCATTTGTTAAGAATGCCGTTATAAACAAACAACATGCAGTGTCTATCTTTTTCGATCTAGAAAAAGCATATGACACTATATGGAAGAACGGTATTTTAAAAGATTTACATGACTTTGGGTTGCGAGGCCGTTTGCCTCAATTTATATCCAACTTTTTATCAAACAGACAATTTCATGTCCGTGTGGGCTCAAGCCTGTCTGATCATTATGATCAGGATCAGGGTGTCCCAAAAGGCAGTATTTTATCAATTACAGTGTTCAACATAAAAATAAAATGGATCACTTTTTGTGGATGATTTTAACATATCATGTCGAGGTAAAAACATGCGTACTATAGAAAGACAATTGCAACTGTGTCTAAATAAGATAAATAAATGGTCTTTGGAAAAAGGTTTTTAATTTTCAAAATCCAAAACAAATTGTATACATTTTTGAAGAAAATATAAACCTCATAAAGACCCTGATTTTGTTTTAGATAGCACTCCAATTAAAGTTGTAAAAGAGGCTAAATTCCAGGGTATTTTTTTTTATCACCATTTAACCTTTTAACCACACATCAAATATTAGAAAATTGAATGCCTGAAGGCTCTTGATCTTCTGAAAGTCGTTTCAAATTCAAAGTGGGGAGGGAATCAGAAAACCCTCCTCCAACTGTACAGAGCACTTATCCGCTCTAAACTGGATTATGGCTCCAACATTTATAAGATAGTATTCATCATCAAGGCCTGAGGCTTTGCCTTGGAGCCTTCAGAACATTCCCTATCAATAGTCTGTATGTAGAGGCGGATGAGCCCTCACTAAAACAACGTCGAATAAAACTCTCATTGCAATCCCTCACAAAGCTCTATTCAAATCCTACTAATCCTGAATATGATTGCGTTTTTAATCCAGTCTATGAGGATATGTACCATACAAAGTCATCCCTTGTTCCTCCAGACCGCCTCCGTGGTCTAATGGTAGAGTGTCCGCCCAGAGAGCGGAAGGTCCGGGTTTCGATCCCCGGCCGCGTCATGCCAAAAGACGTTTAAAGATGGTACTTGTTGTTACCCTGTCTGGCGCTCGACATTAAGGGGCTAAAACAAGGACTGGTCGGCTCGGAGTCAGTATACTGTGTCTGAGTGGGGTATTCATGTTAAACTGCGGCATGGTATCTCAGTGAACTAGCACTGTAAATCGGCATTAGTCCGGACTAGTACAAGCAGCCACACAAACACACACACGAGCATGCACGTCGCTATATAAGTGCAATAATCTTGGACGCGACGTTAAACCCCATTTCACCTCACCTGATCTTGTTCCTCCACTTGGTCTACAAATCAAATCTGACATTTCTGCTGCCAAAATCAATCTTGAAAATATAGCTCCAACTCATGGTACAGCCAGAGGTTGACTTGTCATTAACTAAACTTAAGAAATCAGAAACAAACCAACTAACCTATCAACAAGAATTTAATGAATTGCGGAACACATGTAACACATTCAAATCTATATTTACAGACGGATCCAAGGATGGTGACGCGGTTGCTAGCGCCACTGTCGTTGGATCCAGGATTATGTCTTCACGACTACCCGATAATAGTTCTATTTTTACAGCCGAATCCCATGCAATTTTAACGGCT